GCTAATGGATGGCATTCGTAGAATATGGAAATCACTTTTCAGCTGGCCATGTCTCCAAGAAGTCCCCAAAGGACAAGTGTTGTTAGCTGGATCGTGATCGTTCCGTTCGTTCTCACCTCACGGCTTCTAGACCTCGAGAACATGCAACGATTACTTTCAGTGAGTTGAATTTGTTTTGATTTTCTTTGTTATTTATTTAGTTATTTTCTGACTCATAATCCGCCTTGTAAGATTTGTACACAAAACAATTTGTTGTGCTGGAATAAAGTCTTACCTTTCCTTTTACTGTAAAAACTGCTTTCAATCGTGAATATCAATAGCTCTATATTGCTGTAGGAGTATGAAAAATTGCCTACATTTCTAACTTAATCAAGCCTGACAAAAGCCATGGAAAATGCCTCTGCAGCTGAGAAGACAAGCTTTCTGGCGGGCTACCATTCTGTGGATAATTAATTTGCCCCAAAGATGTAGACCACCTAGCTCATACCTATACTCTGCATGTTTATGAAATTTCATATAAAGCAAAGAACAGGTTGTTAATTTCACTGTATATGAACAGCAAAGCACCAGGTACTATTTTCTTAAAAACAGAATACTTTCATTAACTAAAAGATTATCAGGAGTAATTATATTTTTGGAGGCAGGTCAAATTTGTTCCTCCATGATATGCATAGCATAGCCACACTAATAATTTCAAAAAGGAAAAGTTAGAACATGTACATTTATTTACTTATTCTGTTTTCTAATTCTTGGTTCTAGAAACAATTTGGTAGTGAACTACTAAACTCAATTGTTGTGCCAAATATGGGCTATCAATCCTAGCACTGGCAGCTTGAAGGGAAACAAAGGTGGAAAACCAAGGCCAGTCACATCTTTGGGTAGCCTACCCAAAGTACAAGGATGTAAAGGAAATGTCATGACAGGCCAGGGTAGCATTAAATTATAATGAAGTTTTGCATAGTGCATAGATCAAGTAGATGCATGTACCAACTTACACAAATGTTTTCCTGTAAAAACAAATGTGCAACATGTGTGATCAGACTCCTTTTTTGTTTTCTCAATTCATCAATTTGATACATTCTGCAATTGATAACCATATCAACAGAAGATATGAAAAAAAGGGGCCAATGAGCTTAAAAAATAATACACCTAGTGCTTTACACCTGATGCTTGACAAGGGGTCAGAAGAGCATGCTATACAAAAGCTTTAATGATATCAATGAGTTTTCAAATAAACCCTGTGTAAACAGTGGTACTTGTACTAAGTGAACAGTTATGTTTGTGCTTGTCATCCCGGATTCGAAGCACTCCGTTGTGAAACAAGAAGCAAAAGAAGACTGTGATTTATTCATAATGGTGACCTTGACAGTATTCCTTCTGAAGTTTTTCTCACTACATCCATCCATTACTGGTAACCCAACAATGCAGTGGATAAGCAAGTGTTCAAATAAATAAACAAATGAATCACTCAATAGTAATATTAGAATTGTCCTGCTTCACCAAATGTTTAGAAACATTGATTACCTTATNTAGGCACAAATAGCGCTCTCTACTGCGAGGATCGTGCATCATACGTATCTATAACCGCAGTTCAAAATAATGAACTTCATATATTCATCGTATCAGAACCATTACTGTCGCTTAAAATAGAGAACAGCGACGATTTTCGAGCAAGATCGCTACTGAATTTACTTTGACAATGCTTCGATGAAAGGAATAGTATGATGTCACAATGGGGAAAGACGCTAAAAATTATCGTTGGCTCAGCAGTTGTAGTTTGAGCAATGGCGGACGAAATTTAGTGGGTTTTAATCAAAATTTTTTCGGACTTTTCTTGCTGCGATAGGTCTGAATTATATTTTTTCTTTTTGTTTAGGATCTAAACTAAATTGTCGGAATAAAAAATTTGTTTTGAAGAACATTAATTTTCGTCTCAGTAGCACTTTAAGTGTTCATTTTATTTACTTACTGTTTTTATCTCACAGTCGGTTCTATTTCAGGTAACTTCTAGATAATTTATCATTTTCAGAGCGTAGCCGTAGATCAATCAATTATGAATCAAGCTACAAGTTATTCACAAGTCTTTGAACAAGATTTTTCAGATAGGGCATGAAACGAGAAAAAAACTGCCATTATGATGTTTGCAGTTTGGGTAATATAAAACCGAATCTGAGCCGTCCGTGAAAAAAGGAAAAAAACTGCGTGCAACTGCTGAACGAAATAAATCTTGCTGTTTTTGCTTAAGTTCTATTTAGATATCGACCGAGACATCCGTTAGACACAAAGTGTAAGTAGTTTTAACCATTACAGTGTGTCTGTTCCCACAAGGTCCATAAAAAACGTGGGTCGTAATTTACACTATTAATGCCGCAGTTTCTAGAAAAAGCTCCTGGGCGCTTCTCTAAAATTTCAGCAGAGGGGTGCTAATTGGAAGGACGGCGCCAAATCGACGGGGCACTTGTTAACTTTATTTTCAATGGACTCTAAAAACCTTATCTTGGCTAAATCTTTAAAAGAAAATAAAAAACCGCAACACCGTGATCCACATAGACGTTGAGTCAATATGGAGAGAGAAAAGTAACTTGAAGTGACTTAACGAAATAATAATAATGAAAAATAACAAATTTAATACTGAGATAGTGTTTAATTTAATCCTGTGGTTCGACCCTCCTTCTCACTCGACATATCGAGTTGAATTCTTCTCTAAAATCCTTGTTCAGAATTCCGTAAATAACAGGGTTTACACTGCTTCCCAGTCCTACCATCACTGAACCGAAAAAGTAGACTTGCCGAGGAAGAGAAAAATGTTCGTGAAAACTATCGATCAAAATAATCACTAGAAATGGAGTGTAACAAACTGAGAAGCTGACAATAATGCACGACAACAAACGATTAAGATGAACATCTTCGGCGTTTACATTAGAGGAGCTCATTTGAGAAGTGTGCCTTTTAACGAAACGCCACACCTTTAAGTAACAGATGAAAATGACTTGGTATGGCATAAAGGCTTCGAAAACTCCTATTAAAGCGATAAGAGTGTAACTTGCCGTGCTGAAGTCAAACAGGCAAACGATATGGCCAGGATGAAACACATTATGAACATTCGTGATGTAAAATGATACCGGAATGGCACCCGTGAAACACCAGGCAGATGCTATGGAAATTAAAACTGTTTTAACCGACACCAACTTGCGATGAGTGTTTGGATAGACAACTTTTAAAAGCCTGTTGGCTGCAATAAGGGATATGTTCACTAGAGATGTTGTTCCAAGCATGGTAGCCAAAGAAGCTTGGAACCAACAAAGCTTTGCTCCAAAAATCCAGTTTCCAACCATCGCTGAGACACAGGTAAACGGCATGGCAATAGCAGATAATATTAAATCGGAAACAGCCAGTGAAATTATGAACAAGTTTGAGGGTTTTCGCAGTCGTGGATTTCTGTATATAGCGACCAAAACCAGAATATTTCCCAGTATTGATGCTCCAGTATTGACGAGGCAGATTAATGTCTCGATTACAACGAGGAAAGTTTCTCGGGCTTCAANACACACATTTCGCTCACTAAGGTTGCCAAAAGAGTGCAGTACTTCGTCAGTGATATCCGAGGCCTCCCCGTCCGGCGGGACAAGATTACAACCAGCAGAACTAGTTGTACTCAAGCAAATGGAATCGGTATCCGGACGAATGTGGTCTATCTTGCGCACAAAGAATTTGCCGACATCATTTGCAAGCACAGTCTTGTCGAGATGGACAGGAAAGTTTAAAACATTAGATGCGCCAAGCAGTTTTTTAGCAGCGCAGAAAAGCTTTCTGTGATCAGTTCCATTATCCTCTATAAATTTGAAATAAAACTCTTCCCTTGTCTTGTTCATGAGATTGGTAACCTTATTCCTCTACCGCTTGAAGTCAGCAAAATCCACAGGCAGCCGCGTTCTTCTCCATTTTCTTTCAGCTTTCCGACGTGAGCGCTTAGCATCGTTAATTTCATTGCTATACCAAGGGACCACAGGCCTGCTAACCCTTGTACGAGTCCTAAGCGGAGTATGCTTGTCTAGGAGAGCAGAAAGGGTGCTGTTGTACGAGTTTACGTATGCCTCTAATTCATTAGCAGTATTTGGTTTTACTGCTGTGCACAGCTCGGTAGACTGAAAATCTCTTTTAAGTTGCTCCATATTATTTGACTTTTTCCTGTGGCTGGAATTCTTTACGGAAAGTGCGGGTCTCGGCGGTGTGAGCCAACACATGACAGCGGCATGATCAGAGATAAACTGATCTACTACAGGCGTGTGCGAGACGAGGCATTCAGACATGCGTGTTATAGTTAAATCAAGAGTGCGTCTATCGTGAGGGTGGGCTTATCAACATGCTGACCCAGGCCCTCGAGAAGCTCCAAGAATTTCCGTGCATTAGAGTTTTGAGGATCGTCTACGCGGATGTTGAAATCGCCTGTTATAAGCGGTTGTTCCTTGCATAATAGTAGAGCCTCAAGGTATTCAGGAAACTCGGCGAGAAACACATCTACGGGAACACGGTTCTCCTCTGAAGGCGGTCTGTAGACAATCACAAGCCGTATGTTATGTAGGGAAGATCTTGCAATCCACTCGGAGAATTCAAGAGTCGTGGTCACTAGCTCCAGAAACATCGAGTGAGTCACGATAGATGAGCCCAGTCCCCCCTCCGCGGTGATCAAGTCTTGGATGGTCAACAATGCAATAGAAAAGAAAAGAACTATTCTCCTGCACTGATTCCGCTGTAGTTGAAGCTTAAAAGTTTATAAATGAAGTGGCAGTAGAAACAAGTTTTCCTTATATCCTTTCTACCTAAGAAAGTGAGGGTGAGGGGCGCTGGTCTGACATAATGACCTTCGAGCCGAGCGCTTTTTAGGGTGTGGTCCCTTATTCGAGGAAATAAGTATTGAGATTACTGTTGATGGTAAGGGAAAATTCGTCTTCACAGCGGGTCAATTTTTTCAGTGCCCGGCCCTTAACGAAACCCCTGACTGGATCGTTCTGGAATTTATTTCTTGAGCACAGAAACCAAAAACGGAAAAGATTAAAACATTATCCATTTATAAATTTACAATCGGCTAAAATAGGCAAATAGAGCAGTTTTCAATCTGCGATTGTACAGGCTTTGTTTCACCCTGGTTGGTCTTGAAAACTCGCACAACCACATGGAACCAATAGCGAATCGGTTACTCACTGAACTCTCACGGGCTACCTATGATAATTTTCCCTGTTTTGATTGGTCGCTTCATTGGCTGCTCCTGATGATTTGCCCTGTTTTGATTGGCCGATTTGATTACTTTGGTTATAGTTTTATGACACTCGATTGGAATTCTTTGAAAATGATAGAAATGATTTGTGGTAATAACACTATCAAAATAGAAAATAAAGTATTTCGATTTGAGGATAACTGCTGTATGAAATCCTTGTTTAGAGAGGAAAAATGATTAAAAAGAAAAACTGTTCTTAAAGGAAGATTATCATCAGTCAATCATCCTTCAACTCTTAAAAAGTGATTTATGATATTTCCGAAAAAAAAAAAAGAAAAAAGACAACAGTTGACGGTTTCTACTAATTCCATTCGGTGCTCTCCCTAACTCCAAATTTACGTTACGGTGCCAGTATTTTAACTCATAAGAAGTCACAGGCTGAAGTGAATAAAACCGCCACCGTGATGAATACAAATCTGATTGGCTCATTCAGTTCTTCATATCTTAGTCTCTGTAACTGACACTATTTACAATACGAATTACATTCGTAAAACCACGCTGCTCTGCTACTCTACCAGCGGCCATTTTCGAAATACTTTTGGGCTCTCCTGATGCATAACCAATATTGTATGAAAATGAGTTCACTTTGTATGTAAATGAAAACTTATAATCATAGGAGAGGATGAGCACCGGAACTCGCTTTGAAAAAGACGCCAAAGGTAATTCGCAAATGTGCTATTACAAATCAAGGTTTAGCACCCAGGCTTACGGCTGTGTTGGAAGGTTTCAACAACTTTCGTTTCCTCTTGTTTTCATGGTTGAACTTTGTGATAGGCTTATTTACAACAATCTTCTTTGCGGAACCAAAGCTGAACCCAGGCGCTCTCGATTTGATGAGACCGGGCACAGACCGCCCAGGTGTGGACCCGGGTCTAGAGAAACCTCGATGCTTTGATTGTGTTCCGTCTTCGTCAGAAGATGAAACCGAACTGCTGGAGTAAGGTTTATGGAGCACTTTAGGCTTTGTGCTTGTTACCAGTTGATTCTCTGTTCCATTTTGTTTAAGGGATAATGGCACTGTTTTCTTGATTTCTTTCTTCGTTTCTTGGGATACATTTTTCAATTCGACCAATGCCTGTCGCCCATCTTTGTCATTATTAAAGGGTGGTGAAGAAGCTGTGAGAAAGAAACCATTTAATCAAGCAATCAATTAATCAAACAATTTATTAAATGCCAGAACGTGAGAGACGTCGCCTTTACATCGCGCGACAAAGCTTGAGAAATTAGTCGTAATTTTATCACGGAGTTCTCAACTTCGTAAGCCGACAAGTACCCAATATTTTTGCTCACCAATTCAATTATTTATATCTAAATCTTAGCTTAGCTCAGCGTTTTCCACAGTCGCCAAGTCGTAACATGGTCGCCAGATGACGATAACTAAAACTTTCTCCTATACATTCCACTTCCCTCACCATTTCCATTTTCGCTTAGCGTTCCTATATCCACAGTCGGCACTTCCGGCAGAGATTTCTGAAAAAGGATTGGAAGAATTTTAACCATTTAAATTCTGAAGACAGCGAAAGACAGTAAGAAGCGAAAATGTGAGTACTTCAAGAAGATAAAATACTTCTTTTATTCAAAATAATGAAAAGGTACTTTAACGTAATGTACGGTAAACAGGAAATACAAATACCAGTTGACGATTAACACATTTCAATGCTTTACAGCCGCATTCGTCTGAACAAGCAGTAGAGCTCTTCTTGCAAAGACAGTTACTTGTTGCACACTTCCCTGTGCACTTGCATCCCTAAAAATGAAAGCGAATCAGTCAGCAGTCAGTCAAGCAATCAACTAATCAACCTGTCAAACAAGCTATCAACCATCTATCTGCCGGTCAGTCAGTCAGTCGGTACTTTGGTCAGATCTATCCGTTCGTCTTTCCTTCCGGTTAAGAAGAATCTATCTCGTGTATCAATTTATTCGTTTATTCGTCTATGTAATTTTAAACTGCTCTTCCAGTAAAATCCACTCAGGCTTCCACAGTAAAGAGAAAGCGAACACCCTCTCTCTTAACAAAAACATTTCTCCTTCAAGCGGATTCAAGATGAACAAATCACTCCGGTTAGAAGGAGACTAGATATCAAGGATGATATTCCTCGTTTTTTTTTAACTGTACCGGTTAACTCCTTAAAAAAAGACGAAAATACTATGCATTCGACCCGCCTAGTTACCTGTCCTTGCCCAGAATTAATGATAAGTGATGAAGCGTCAGCGGACTGGGTGCGTCGCCCAGACCTCCGCTGTGGACGCCGGCCCACGGGGGTTTTCACCCAGTCTGGGTCTAGCTCAACCAAATCCTCCTGTTCACTCTCCTCACTCAAATCCATGGCCCAGTCCTCGTCGTGTTGGAGTACTTCAACCGTTTTCTTCTTTGATTTCTAATAGGGAAAAAAGGCAATGCAAGATTTTAATTGTTAGGCTACCTCTGCTGGCAGGTGGAAAACTTCACAAATTACCAACTTGGAAAAGATACCTAATTCAACCATCGGCGGGGTAAAATCCAAAAAAAATGATGTTTCCAACGCCAATCCTACATGTTCATCTGGACAAATTGGTTTGAGTGCACTCTGAACGCGAAGTTGAAAAAGAAATGACGACAAATTTGCGATCTTAGATCGATAACTTAAATCTGCCGATAAAATATGGTCGCCACGATCAGTTTATTTAGTATGAAACTGAGGTCCCTAAATTTTGAGCTACTTGTTTTATTGTAACCACGTGCCTTCATACAATGAGCCTTTCTTAGACAGTCGAGCGCGAAAGGATATAAAAAAGATCGAAAAAATACCAGGGTTCAGCAGCAAATTGATAAACGAATCTTATTTTTAATTACCTGTTTCTTTGGTTTGGGGGATGGAGAATCAGATGCAAAGACGTCCCTCAGTTGTCTCAATTGCTAAAAAAGAAATCACTCACATAAGCCAAAAGAGAAACAGATAATTTCAAGGGGTATTCGAACGACGCATTTTCGAAGGTTCGAAAGTTCACTTTTCGAGAGAGTTCAACTTTGAAAAACGTCCTAAGTACGGCAAGCTAATTGTTGCTTGAATTTTATTGAATTGAACTTCAATTCATTGAATTTCATTGAATTTTAGTATTGAATATTGCCACAATTGGCTTGCCATACCTGGGTAATAATATAAAACAACTTCTTGGAAAATAATAACTTGTATTTGTATTGAAAAATAAAATAACACATGTATCATACCTCTTTCAAGTTGTTGTTCTCTTCTTTCAACGCCCCGAGTTGCTCCTGTAAAAAGGAAAAAAAAAAAAGACTATGAAGTTATATTAGGGCGCTTCTCGATTGACTGAGTTTTGTAGAACCAAAATAAAAAAATCCCAATGACCAATCGGAACAAGGCAAATACCACAAGTAGCCAATGAGAATTTAGCTTACGGCACAGGCGTAATTTGGGCGAGCGAGTGCTCAGTAATATCATAGAGAAAAATAGCCGCCATCTTTGATTTCAAATGGCAGTTTCTAAACTGGAGAAACCTCTTTTTTTTTATTTGTCACCTGAAGCTCTTCTGTTGTTTCCTGCTGGGAATTATACGAGGCGTCGCTGGAAGGTATTTGCTGCAGAAGGCACTGGACTTTTTCCTCGTGTTCCTCCTTAAGACGTGTCACGAAATCGTCGTGAGATCGTTGAATTCTTTTCATTTCAGCCTGATGCTCTGAAGACATGGACTGAAACAGAACTTGACCACTTCAGTAAAATCCACACGCGAGTAATCTTAAGATCTATGCCAAATAATTCAGTAGTATGGACGCTGATAAATTAAAAGCGACATCTAAATAATATCTTGATGTATCGATCATTAATACTCATTATTCCGATAAGTCTGGTAGATAGCGCTATACATTTCTTGAGCAATAAGGCGCTCGCAAAAATATTTTCAACCCATTGCTTAATTTTTGACAAACAGAACAAAATTGACGCAGCCTTGAGAAAGCTCGTCGCATTCCTCCAATATGGCCCGTGTTTGATCACCAAAGAGGGCGTCTTTTGAGTTGAGATAGTTGTTGACTTTTGTCCCAAAGGACTTCTTAAGGTTTCCAGTCTCGAATGCGATAAAAAAAACCGAAACGATATATTCCTCCTCTATCTTAACCCACGTGTCCTTCATAATGATTTCAATGAGCTCTTTCATGTTACGATGGAGCTAACCCGCCTCCCGGTTAGCTCAGTGGATAGAGCGCTGGACTGTTGTGCGGGAGGTCGAGGGTTCAAGCCCCGGCCGGACCAATACTCAAGGTCTTAAAATAATTGAAAAGAATGAGCTACCTTTCTATAACATCAAGAAATGGTTAGATATTCTAGTCTTCTCGCATAGGGACGAATAAATGGAGGTCCCGTCTCCTGCAGGGTTGGGGTAGGAGACGTTAATTTCCCACGCACGAGATTACTGTGTGATGGATGTCCTCCCCTGGGGTGGGATTTATTGGGTGGACTACTCGCATGGTTCGCATATGTTCCGTTCCAGTCCTACCCTACTGCGGTAATGCAGTGAAAAAAATGGTCACTTCATTGCACTCATGCAGCAGTGGTCCTAGCTATCTCCCACCTCTTCACGTGACCTTAGTTCGTTTAACTGGGACTCAAACTCCTCTCTGGATTTTTCCGTCTTTGTATTGGCAAGAGTTGCTGCCACTGTCTGCGAAGATAAAAATATACTAATATTTCATGCGATATCAACTGTACCAGATACACCGTTCTTATAAAAAGGAAAGAGTCAACGACGAGATTGTTGCAGGCCGGTTTACAAGGTCACTTAATGCCTGGTTCGAGAAAGGATTTAAGCTTGAGTGTGCAGTTTTAAAATGTAAATCATTCTGTGAATTTAAACCGCAGACATTTTTCTCCCTTTGTTTCCTATAACACAATTACATTAAAAGACAATAGATCCCCGTTTCGTATCGTTCAGTCCATAATCCGCGTTTTTTCCAAAAGGTTCACAGTGATAAAACACAATGGACATGGTCCTGTTTATCTTGTAGTTTTACGTAAACAATAGTGGCACAATGCCACACGTTCGGTAAAGCGCACCGTCCGGTATTCTCGCCAATTACAATGAAAATTTAAAACGTAAAGTACCAAATCGAAAGCTTAGTTGAGTTTTCACACTTCATCGTGTCTGGGATCATTTAACCACCTGCAGTACGCGTGGACCGACTAGCATTATAATCGAAAAGAAAAGGAGAAAACAAACAAAAATAACCCACCATGTTTAGCAAAACTTGCAACCCTGCCTTTGCTTCAGCCATGCTGTGAATATTATTCCAGCGATGTCTTGATTTTTCCCCTAAGTTCACACAAAAATTAAAATAAATGATCTGGCGAACGATTGCTTAAAGGGTTGGCCTTTATTCTACAGTTGATGAGAAGCTGATTGTGCTGGGGTTAAAGACATGAATTGAAAAGAAAATCATGGAAATTTCATTTCGCATTGCTGGGAATAGGTAAAGATTTCAGAGGTTTTTTTTACTCGAGTAATTTCCTTCAAGAAAAGAACACGCCTTCGTGTCAGGAAAGGAGGTGGTAAATGAATCTGATCTGCGAGTCTCACTCTTCCGTTTACTTTTAATCCAGACCTGTTTCCTTACTCGTGGCCATCTCGACCGTTAAACACAACTTCGGTGAATAGCTGTTCAAAGCAAACAGTTTACGCAGCTCACGATTGCTAAATTTCCATGCTAAGTCTCCCGTGCATATCTTCGGCTAGGACGATGCTAAATTTACCTTGCTCTGCATCAAGAATCTTTTGCTGTAGCACACCTATTTGGGAACTCCTGTTGGAAGGAAAGAGCTTCTGTTAGTTTTAACATTGCTAAAGATGTAAGTTAAAGAAAAACTGAATAGTTAGTGAAGGGGGAAATTATTTTAAAAAACCTAGGTATTAAAACTACAAAAAAAGTCGGCAGTAAAAAGGCTTTGATACAACACGCCATAGAGTCTAGAGAATAATTCGAACGACGTGAATGGAATTACGAAGTAAAGGGAATAACTTAATCTTGATGAGAAGCAAAGTTTGAAACTTAAAAAGAAAAATAATAGACGTTTCTTGACGACGTATTAACAAACCTTAGTTCGAGCTCGTGTTCAAGGGTGGTGATTGTTATTTGTAAACTATGTGACTTGTTTTTCTTGTCGCTCGGAGTGCCAGCCTCTTGGAGCATTTTCTACAAATACAATAAGGATGGCATTAAAAAAGAGACTTGCAAGCAAAACCTCGACCGAAAAGTACAAGTAAAACTCCTTTCAGGACACTGTGCCAACATTACAATGGTGAACCTTAAAGTGCACCTAAACCCAAAAATTTTTTTCGCTTAACGAAATAAGCGTATTTTTTGGAGTATTTCTGTGCAAAAATTGTTTTATTTGCTCAAATCTTCAATTTTCTGTGTCCAGTCAAAATACGGAAAATCGGCCGCCATCTTGGCTCACCACCGAGTTTAAAGAGGAATGGCTCTAGCGGGTATTGGGACGTCAAATCGAGAACACAAAAGTCTGCATTTCACACATTTTCACTTGTTTGGGAAGGTTGTCGTCGATATTGTCCGAAATATGCCGACTAAGTGTGTTGTAGGAGGATGTAGCAACGTGCGAAATTTGCAAGAGGGTATCGCGCTTCATACATTCCTCATACAACACACCCAGTCGGCATATTTTGGACAATATCGACGACAACCTTCCCAAACAAGTGAAAATGTGTGAAATGCAGACTTTCCTGTTCTCGAGTTGATGTCACATTACCCGCTATAGAACCATTCCTCTTTAAACTCGGTGTTGAGCCAAGACGGCGGCCGATTTTCCGTATTTTGACTAGGCACAGAAAGTTGAAGATTTGAGCAAATAAAACAATTTTTGCACAGAAATACTCCAAAAAATACGCTTACTTCGTTAAGCGAAAAAAAATTTTTGGGTTTAGGTGCACTTTAATAAGTTATTTGGACATTTCATGAAGTTTGGAAGTCACCAGATGAGAACAAAAGGTCATGACGCCGTGGACCAAGAGCAGTCCCTCCTTTTCGGCCGCGTGGAATTCTGGGAGTTAGGTGCACGAAAAGTAGTGTACCTCACTCCCAGAGTTCCTCGCGGGGGGAAGCTAACATCAACTTTCTTTTTCGCTGAATTTGTTTTTATTTGCGCCACGAACTTCGCCCATAAGGAGGGACTGCTGGTAGTCATTGAGATCAAATAAATAGAAAAGTTTTAATAGGCAATGAGGATCTTTGGTATTGTAGTACCACTGTTTACTGACAGACAAACAGACAGATAGACAGGTAGTCATTACCTTGGCAGCAGGTTCGTCATGTTGATCTTCTTCCTGACTTCTTAACTCCGCTAGTTGTCTCGACAATACTTTCCTATCGTCAATGAGATTTTCTAGTGTCTGTCTCGCTTGGTTCACGCTCACAAGAACCTCGACTTCATGACATAACCAGGACTACAAAAAAAGGTAAACATCTACATGTAATTTCTTCGCAAACATAAAATTTCGACTCAGTTTTTAATGAGATTTCCTAGTGTCTGTCTGGCTTAGCCCACGCTCATAGGGACCTCGACTTCATGCCTTAACCGCGACTACAAAAAAAGGTAAACATCTACCTTACGCAAACGTAAGATTTCAACTCAGTTTTTCATTTATTTTAGGTGCCTTTCTTCGTAAACGAATGTCGTTCTTCACCAGCCTCTGATACGAAAGCATTTATCCGGAACTCCAATGCTATCCGCGGTAACATCAACATTTCATCGAGCTTAAAACGCTTTGTCGAGGGTTTCCAGGTGAGCTATTAAGTTCATGCGCACCACAATTAATTGCCTAATTTCAAAAGAAAAAATTCGACGTTTGTTTGTTTTTATTTTGTTTTTAAATCCTCGAATGACACCAAATGGTAGTAGTTTATCATCTGGCGCTTGCTCATAGAGTAAAATGCTAAACCAAAGACTTTCCAACTCATAGGTGGTGGTAAAAAGGCGTCAAGGCAGTTGTAATAGCCTTTTGGCTGCTGTGGGTAGGGTTACGCCATCTGTTCTTGATGGAGATACCTTCATTCTTGGAACAAGTCCCTCGGCCTGTTTTTGTTGTTGCTGTTGTATCATGGATTTCTTCTCCGCCGCCTCCTTTTGGCGATCCAGCGCCATCTTAAGACGCTTCTGAACTGCCGACACCTAATGAAAGATATTAATTCTTAGTTTGGAATCCGAAGCTATGAGGTGCAATTTCCCAAGGAACTCGGAGTCTTTCTTTGTCCCAAGATGAAAAAATATCTTTCTTCATAAACCGTCTTATTGCAGAACCTCTTGTCATGTCCTTGTTACAAAACTGTTATTTTCATTATCCGTTTTACAAAGTTTCTCCCTCTCTAAATCGAGAATAGCCCGTTATTTACCTCAGCACGACGTGTCTAAAAATCTACTTATACTCATTCTTACTTACATGAAGTAAGTGAATACCGCTTTTCGACCCTTAACCAGGCTTGACATTTTCACTCTTTTTCGGTCCATCTAAGCAAATTTGTTTAAGTTGACAAACGCCTGAACACGTGATCATAGTGCCCACAACATTACCATTCACGTGTAGGTCACATGCGGTTTACCTCCTCCGTTTTTCTTTTGAGGACAGCCTGTTGCTTCTGATGAATGTTCTCCAACTTCTTGTATTCAAACTGCCTTTTGCGACCCTGTGAAGAGAATCGTGTAAATTTCAAACTGATGTCATAGTGAATTATATATAAACCTACCACGCCTTTTTATCCACATAACTTATTCACAATATTATTATGACCCTTATGATTTTGATGATGACTTCAATGATGATGACGTCGATGATAATTAATTAATAATTAATTAATAATTAATCCTATTATTGATGAATTTTAAAATGTCATCAACAAAACGAAATTACAAAAAGATTCCATAAGACCGCTGACCTGGTCCTTCAACTGATTAATTTCCTTGTCTTTTTGAGCCTTCAGTGCTCTGAAGCGTTCAGATTCTTCTTTTATCTGGCGCATTAGCTTGACACGGATCGACTTCATACCCTGCATGGATAGAAAATAGAATTTAAAGATCTCTCTTTTTGTAGTAGAATGATTGATTTTTTTTTGACAACTCTCATCGCTAAAAATACATCTAAGTGGCTGCTTTCTGTAAGAACGGAGAGAAATCAAGGCAATTCATTTGATCACCACTAACCTGAATCTCAGAATTGAGTTTCTTTATAGTACAGTCGCTTTGTTCCTTCATTTTCAAAAGTTTGTGTTGTTCAACCTGTTGACAAATAATAACAAAATAAATACATAGGACTTGGTCCTGTTTTCAGAACTTTCTAGCCCACCAAGTTATACGAGCTATCCCTGTCTTATTAAACTGAAGGTAAAATGAAAATGATCTAGTTTTATACAGGATGAAATTATCAAGAACTCAAACGTCTGCAGTTGTTTCATGCACGCAGCGTTACTGATCATCTCACACGTGCTGGGAAAAATTAAATCATACAACCATGATGATACTAAGAAATGCAACAGAAAAAGGGAACATTCTTAATGGCAGTAAGGCACTAAATCAGTTCCATCAAACGAAAACGATAACCGCCAACTGAACTAACCTGCTTCTTCTTCAGATCTGAAATTTTGGCCTCAAGTTCTTTGATTCTATTCCTGTTCTTTTCATTCATTTTGCTGGAAAGGAGAATGAATGTTACACTGAGTAAGGGGGAGAGAGAATGGGGGAGAGGGAGAAAGGGAGAAAGGAGGAAAGGGGGAAGTGGAAAAGGGAGAAAAGGGTGGAAAGGGGAAAAGGCAGAGAGGGGGAGAGGGGGAAAGGAGGAAAGGGGGGAAGTGGGAGAGGGGGAAAAGAGGAAAGGGGGAGGTGGGAAAAGGGTGGAAAGGGGGAAAAGGGTGGAAACGGGGAGAGGGAGAAAGGGGGAAGGGGAGAGGAGAGGGGGAAGTGAGAAAGGGGGAAGTGAGAAGAGGGGGACAGCGGGAAAGGGGGAAAGGAGGAAAGGGGGAGAGTGGGAGAGGGGGAAAGGGGAAGGAGGGGGAGGGGGAAGGTGGAAAGGGGTTGTCGACCGTATTTGAAACCAGTCACATTCACACTTACCTGTCGGAGGCTTCGGACTTCTTGCTGGTTAACGCAACGCTAAGACTCGCCTTTTCCTTCTCCAACCTCGAAATTTCACCCTCCAGTTCGCGAACAGTGTCCTTCACAAAATAAAGAGAGTCATGAATTAAAAGAGTGTGGAGCCAGGATTTTCCGAGATTTCTAAAAAATTTCTTAATTAGAGTAAAACTAACTTGGAGAAGAAGCATCAAGGGATTAAACAAATTCAGCAAAATTGAACGAATAAAGAAGAATCAGGAACTCAAAAGATGAACAAATGTGTTAACAAAACGGCCTTAACTGGAAAAACATTTGTGTCGACAACTCGTACTGACCTCATACTGTTTTCTCATATTGGACAACCGTTCGTCATTCGACACCATCTTATTGGCTAACTCTTCTTTAAGAGCGAGTGCTTTATTCAATTCCTGGAGTTGTCTCCCAAGCTCTGCTCGCCTTAAAGCGTGCTGGGAAACAAATGAGGCATCCGAAGGGGACCTTGGGTCAGAGCTCTCGTCGCACTCGTCCGGGTGTTCTGTGTCACTGGTGGGCTGACAAGAAAAAAAGTGAAGCAGATCGCGATCATTGGTTTTAGAAAATAGCATAACGAGCCGCTCGCTTTTTTTTTTTTTGGCACAAGTGTCATTAGAAGGAAGTTATCTTGACTCTCTCCATCAATTTACAAGGAAATCAACACAAGCCAGATGGGATGATTTACGGATCAGAACTGAGGAAGTACTGGCATGGGAATAAAGTTCCGCTTTCTTTGTTTGTTGGGTAATTTTAGCCCATAGCACAAGTCAGAATTGGGAAGATTTTCCTAAACAAACCTGTTCTTCAGTCTTAACTACATCTTCCAACTTTGTAGTCGAGCTCAAACTCTCCTGAAAGCAGACACAAAGTATCACTTAGAACATTAAATAACAGAGACTTTATATGAATGTTAATGCATTCGACATCTACACGTCATCTGCAAGGTTGTGATTCATAAACATAGAATTGTTCAACTCCAAACAGGAGAAACAAACCCTTTGGCGACTTAGCGGTCGAGTGGGAGTCTAGACTCCAAAGAAAAGTGGGAGACTGCATGAGTAGATGATGTCAACCTTTGACCTCCAGGGTTGAACTCAAGCACTCAAGGTAATCATTTATTCAGGCAGTCACTTCTAGCTAATGATATTACTAAGTGTGCGCTTTTGTGAGGATGCTGACCTCGAGTTCATGCAGCTTTGTTTGAAGTTCTTCGGCTAACGCCATGTCAGCCTGGCTATTGTCCACTGACTCGGCCACATTTGCGGTGATTTTAGCGCTGAAAAACACAAAATTACCAAACACTTTGTAGCTAATGCAAAGAAAAAGAAAACATGAGAAATTAAAAAGAAAGTATTTCTGCTACATTCCTAACGCTTTATTGTCAAAGTAATGTAAATCATACGACAGCCTTCCTACCTAAAATGGCCTTTCAGCTCATTAAATTTTCGCAGCATTTTATCGCGAGCTAGCTCAGCCTAAAAGGGATAAATAAAACATGATATCAAAATTATAATGCATTGTATAAAGAAAAAAAACACAAGACTGATACGCAAGGTGAACTTAAAATGGTCAAGGAGAATTGCCTCGTTCTCATGGTCTACTATAAACGTCTTGATCAGGGAATTAGGATTTTCCAGGCGGAGCTTATATTAGGCTACCAAAAAAAGAATAGGTGGAGTTCATACAATTCAACAATTACTTTTAACAGGTTTTTATTTTCTTCTTACCACCAACACTTTCTCGTACATCTGAGTGTTCTGATCGACAGAGGCATGCAGCTCGGAACTCAGCTTTTCATTTTCGGACTGAAAAGAAACGGGCAAGTTAAATAAGTCGATTCCCCCTCAACTTGGTGAGGAGCAGCAACTTGTAAACGAGATTAAAACAATGAACACACATTTATAGAAAAAAATCAAAGGAGACTCACTTCGAGTTCCGTGATTCTGTCCGTCATTTCTTGGATGTTGATAGCTGAAGTGTTCTCGTCACTAAAAATTCCGAAAAAAAAAAACTGTAAAATGAGCTCAATCAAGGATGGAGTTGGCAAGGGACTTGAATCCTCCACAGAGGCCTCATTCTTGTGGAAATCCCTCTCCAGTTAATGTCAAGCTCAAGGTTTCTGCATCCTACGTATCACGTGAACGCCCTGGTGGAGCTTACTCGTTCCCAGTCGTCTTCAAAACAAGGGCAACCGACTCAGACAGGAAGAGTGGGAAGCACAAATATGAAGAGTCATCTCTTTCTCCCCCTGCATAGCTTTTTTTCACATTTTGAAGTGTACCGAGAATGATAGAGAACGCAAATGATGTACTTGTACGAAAAATATCTTGCGTCACAGGATTGGTGAATGGTAGATTCTCCTTGAATCTCCCCAAATCCACTATTTTCCCCGAAAACTAATTCATTATAAACGGTACCTTGTCCCTCCTGCAGTCACTCCTGTAATGGTTTGTCCCTGGAGAAGTTGCACTTGAAGCAACTGGACCTAAAGTGACCAATATGACATTCGGTCAATGATTAACATATAATGTAAGTCCAACTTTTGCAGAAATTTCTGACACGTAACAACAGTATTTCCTTCGGCATCTTTGGCACTTTCACCCTTAAAATCGCATTATTGAATAAAATCTAGTATTCTGATTGGTTAACGAAGCGAGGTATTTAGCGTGGAATTGCGAGTTGAAAACGAGACTAAGTGATATTGGTTCGCATCTACGTATACATAACAACGATAAAGTAATGCTGTGTTCTTTTCTTATTTTTATTCAATTATGCGATTCAAGGAAAATCCATCACTTGACTCGTGAATTCCGCGTTAAATTGCATTTGAAACCCGATAGCGCACCCATCGCTTCACGATTCGTGCGATATGGGTTTCCGCGTGTAATTTAATGCGGAATTCCCTCGTCAAGTAACGAATTTTCCTATGATATTATACGTTAGATTCATTAAAATGTCTTAAACACCTGATGGCGAAGTCGCGCCAGTTCAGCTGCGGCCGGATCAAGATTAACAATTGGTTTGTTTTTTATCTGTCTCGCTCGATCGGCGTATCTGAGCGTGTTAAGGGTTTCCTCAAAATTACTGTCTGCAGGACTCACGCAAGCGATCATCAAGGTATTACTGTTTCCTCCGAGAGAGTCTACAAAAGAAAATTGAGAGTTTGTTCTCTCTTGAGCCATTATAATTATTAGCGAGATTCAGCAGCGCGTTTAAGTGAAACATGAACGGCAACAGTGACCACGTGACCCTCTTTTTCCCACCATTTTTTCACGCTTGCGCCTCGCCGGTTACGTAAGATTTTTTCACTTTTTCTTAATTGTCGGAAAAGGGGCACCCAAACTATTCCTTGTAATTCATGCCAGGGCACCTTCAAACCTTGACGTGAGCTCACACAAGGTAGAGCAGCAAGGTTCACGCTATTTTACGTGAAACGTGGAAGAACAAGCTGACGTTTGCCGTTTTCCGTACACGCAGTGCTCAATCTCTTTATTATAGGTTATACGAGGAAGCGCGAAGAGAGTGCACGAGAACAAGAGTGTAGCAGGCCACATGACAACCCCAACTCCATCCCACGCAATTGTAATCGTTCTAAATTACTATATGAGATACATGATTGTATAATTGATGGGTCTTTGGACGTTTTCATGTGTTTCAATAACTGCGCCCGAAAACGGGACCGTTAGGCGGAACCCAAACACGAGAGTCTGCTTGCGGGCTCAACAGACAGCGGCAAGAGGTTTTACAGGGGGCGGTAGACCGCTAGGAAACGGCTTTCATTGAAACCCAAAGAGTGAAAATGGGGAATAAAGTTTTTCCCCATTCTTATCTCATCTACAGTACCAGCCACACGAATAGCAGCATTTCACGGGCACAGTTTGCAAGCAAAGTAGGCGCGCGTTACGCGCGAGTAAAAAAAATACACGAAAGTACGTGTAAAAAAGTACACGCAAAATTAATTCTTCAAGGTGCGTGTAAAATCTTACACGCAGAGTTTCGTGTAAAATAGGACAGAGCATTTACTGTTGTACCGTGGTAAGGTCAGCTAGGAAATCTTGCTAAATATGTTTCTGCTCAGGTCACATGAAATCATTTCTCATCCCAGATGTGTGAGTTCAAATATAAAACAAGATAGAAAACACAAAACAAACGAAAACAAATCCCAACTTGACAGAAAAAAACAAAAACAAGACAAAACGAAGATGGTTTTACCCTGTACTGTCATTTATTGTACCGGGTGCAATTTTTTTTTACCTTGAAGAAGACGTGTCAACTTGGAGTCGCGGTAAGGGACGTGGGCATTAGATTTCCTCAGCTCATCACTAAGAGCACTAATAACATTACCCAATGCTAGCAACCCTTTGTTGATGTTAACACCTGCGAAATAATGTTTTGGAATAAATGGTAGAGAATCAGGAGTATATATTCAGGAATCATTGATTTTATAGTTCAGGTTCCAACGTGGATTCTGATCAGATGACATTTTTTTTCTTTGCTGCAAATCACTATTCTAATCTAAACATGTTAAAACAACAAAACCAGCCATCTCAAAGGTATTTTGTGATCTTGTCATTGCAAAAAAAAAAAA